AGGAGATGAAAGGACCTCCCCGGCTCAAAGATTGGAAGAATTAATATTGTGAAAATGACCATCCCACCAGAAGCCATTTATAGATTCAATGCAATGCCAATCAAAATCCCCATGACATTTTTCACAGAATTGGAAAAAACCATCCTAAGATTCATATGGAAGCACGAAGACCTCAGATAGCCAAATCTACCCTGAGCACTAAGAGCAATCCCGGGGGTGGGGATTACTATACCAGATTTTAAACTGTATTACAGAGCTATAGTCATCAAAACAACATGGTACTGGCACAAAAATAAATGGAACAAAATTGAAGACCCAAATATGAGTACATGCAATTTCAGCCACCTGATATTTAACAAAAGGGACAAAAACATTCACTGGAGGAAAGAAAGCATGTTCAGCAAATGGTGCTGGCAAAACTGGATCTCCACCTGTAGAAAAATGAAACTAAACCCCTATCTTTCACCTTGCACAAAAGTCAATTCCAAAGGGATCAAAGACCTCAATGTAAAGCCTGAAACTCTGAAACTGTTAGAAGAAAATATTGGCAATACCTTAAAATATATGGGTGTAGGAAAGGATTTTCTAAACTGGACATCAATTGCTCAAGAAACAAGGTCAAGAATCAACAAATGGGACCTCACTAAACTAAAAAGCTTTTTGTACATCAAAGGAGGGAACCAGGGAAGTGAACAGAAAACCCACAGAATGGGAGAAAATCTTCACCAGTGACACATCTGACAGAGGTTTAACATCCAGGATATACAACGAACTCAAAAAACAAATAGAGGGGTACTCCCATTGCCTCACCCTGCATCCCTGTTCAGCATGGAAGAAGCCAGAGCGGTCAGCATCCCTATTCCCTATTGGCAATGTGGGTAACCCTTCAGAGGATGATGTGATAAGAATAGGAGGTAGGAATTGGCTAGGCAGTTAGGGTAAAATGACCCCAAAGAAATGTAGCCAGTTTCTTGGCTAAAAGTCAAAATGTCCATGTCCCTCTTGGAACATACTCTGTTCCAAGGCCAAAAATGTCAAAAGTATTTGGGAGCTTGTATCTAATCATTAAAAGATTTTAGGGTTACCTCTTCAGAGGGGGGAATGTTGGAGGGGTGGGAGTGGGCATGGATTTGACCAAAACATCTTATATGCATGTATGAAGTTCTCAATTAAGTTTTTGTAAAGATTAAAAAACAAAATGAAACAAACAAACCAAAAAGACCCAAAAGATTCAAGAAAGCAAGTAACCCAATTAAAAGATGGGCTAAGGAGCTGAACAGAGAGTTCTCAAAAGAAGAAATAAAGATGGCTAAGAAGCATCTTAAAAGATGTTCAACACCATTAGTAGTTAGGGAAATGCAAATTAAAACCACTTTAAGATTTCATCGTATCCCAGTCAGACTGGCTAAGATAAAGAGAACAAATGATACCAAATTTTGGAGAGGATGTGGGGAAAGGGGAACACTCACCCACTGCTGGTGGGGCTGCAAACATGCTCAACCCCTATGGAAAGCAATGTGGAGAACTCTTAAAAAACTACAAATCCTGCTGGGGCTACAGGGAGATCCTGTCTCAAAAAGACACACACACACAAAAAAAAAACAAAAAAACCCCAAAAAACTGAGGTGCAAAATGGCTCAGTAGGTAAAGACACTGCCACCAAGCTCAGCAACTTGAGTCTGAACCCCAGACTCATGGAAGGAGGGAGAGGGCTCCCCCCAAGTTGTCTTCTGACCTCCAAACATGCACTGTGGCATGCATGTACATCACACACACAAAAAAATTTAATATACAACAATGAGAACTAAAGAATCTCAGTGAAAGGCATACAGTTCTTGCCACATTTTTACAGGCTTGACAATTCTCACAATAAAGTGTTTTGAAATGTAAGAACATACTTCTGATCTGGAAATAACAGACATAAATACTTGACATTACACCTCCCTTAGTGCCTATTCTGCCAGACACTATGTCTGGAATTGCAGACATCTCATTTAACTTTCAACAACTCATGGTGAATTTAGTGTTTACTTATCCATACTTAACTGTGTATTAGTTACTTTTCTGTTGCTGTGACAAAACACCACAGGCAACTTATAGAAGAGTCTATTCTGGCCAGGAACAGTGGCGCACATCTTTTAATCTCAGCACTCGGGAGGCAGAGGCAAGTGGATCTCACAGTGAGATTGAGGCTAGCCTGGTCTATGTAGTTAATTCCAGTACAGCTAGGGCTGCAGGGAGTCTATCTCAAAAAGATCTTACACACACACACACACACACAGAAGGGTTCTGGCTTACAGTTCCAGAGGGATAAGAGTCCATCATGGCAGGGAGGCTTGGCAGCAAACGGCAGGCAGGACAGCAGGAGCAGAAAGCTTAGTGCTCACATCTTCACCACAACTGAAGCAGAGGGGGCAAACTGCCAGTGAGGCGAGGCTATGTACTCCCACAGCCTGCCCCCTGTGGCATATTTCCTCCAACAAGGTTCCACCTCTAAGGATTCAGGACCTCCCAACAGCACCATCAACTGGGGACCAAGTGTTCAAATTAGGTTGACTAGTTCCAAGGGACTATGAGCATCTCTCAAAATGTCCTATAATGGTGGTGGGTCACCTGTCCTCTTGATCAAGGAGGCTGAGAAGACCCCATCAGATGGACTTAAACCAGTGTCCAGTCTACAAAGAGGAGGGAATCATTTCCTCCATGCTTCCAAATGAAGCCAGCCATGGTCAAGCAGGACTTTGACTTATCATCACATAGGTAGAACTGGTAAAAGAAAGGAGCCAGGGGCTCCTCCCAAGCCCATGTGACCCCTGAGGAAGAGATCCTCAAACAGCCTTAAGAGTAAAAATAAATTGGTTTATCTGGGCCAACTGTGTGTCCTTAAACATCCAAAAGGAAAGTATAACCAAAGATTAAAAGGCCAATATAATTTTTTAAGAGCCCATATGTATAGCTAAAGGCTACATAACAAGAAACAATGCCAGATAGGAGATACCTTCTTTTGAGCTGTTGGCTAGGGTAGCCCAAGGGACTCCCAGATAGTAACCCAGCACAGAACTGGGAAAATGAACGGCAGACCCCAATCTTATCTAAAGGAATATTGACAACTGATTTCTGCTAGATGAGGAACAGCTGACCTTCCTAAAACAAAGACCTCTAGATAGGCTGACTAGATTCACCGGATGGACAAGTACTGGGGCACAGCTGGGGGTGTCTGTGTGACAACACAGCAGACAGTAGCAGGGATGACACAGTATAATGCCTCTGTTGGGGTGGGGGAGGCTATGGGAGGGTGCCATTTGGGAAGTGGGTGTATAGATGAATAAGATGGTTTGGGATGTTCTGTGTGATATAGACACAAAAAATTAACAAATTAAAAAAATGAGTTATATTTGAGGAGGAAGCATAAAAATTTATGTCATGTTAATTAGTAGAGGTGATAAACATTACCATTGAAATCTACCCAATGACTTTATATCCATACACAGGTGCCAAGGATCCAAGTGCAACCAACTATGACTAGTAATAATCAGATACATGCATATTAGAGGCGCATAGGCCAACATCTAAGTGTTACTAGCAAAAACAATGAAACAGTATATTTTAAAAATGAAATGGAGATCTTTTTTAAAGGTTAAAAACTCATTCAGTTTTATGTCTTACAGGGTTTATACTGAGTTCAATACTGTATAATTGTATTAATTCAACTGTGAACCTAAAGATTTTATAGCCACTTTTGAAAGAGATGTATCTTTGCTCTGGAAACTGTTATTGGGTATGTTAAAACTGTAATGAAATGCTTCTTCTAAAAATAAATAAATAAATAAATAAAAGGCTTACGATTTTCTTTAAACCTTGATAATAACATTATATAAAGAGAAAAAGGAAAGAATCCAAAGATAAAGTCCAAAACAGTAAAGAAGCAAAAAGTGCATCCCACTTGGAATAAAGGAAGTTAAAAAGAATCTGCATATTTTGAAAATCAAATGGCATTTTTCAAGAATAAAGGGTGCCAAATGGATTTCCTAGCATGCACAGGGCCCTGGGCTTGATCCCCAGGATGCCACCACTGGGGAAAAATAAAATAAAAAGCAAGAAAAGACTCTTTTGAGTCTTAAAATAGAGTTCACTCTGACAATTCATACATTCAATAAAAATACCTCTGAATATTTAAATCAGAAAAATCTAGAAAACTTCCTTGTTCAGATAAATAGCCTATGTTGTTTTGGTCTTCAGTGGTATAAGACAAAGAGGAAGAATGTACATAAACCGACAATATCATATGATTTTGTCTCCCATAAATTTCATCCTATGGTGGTTATTTTGGCAGATAACACCATAGCAGGACTTCTTGCAACTCTGTCTTTTTAATTAAGATCTGAAAAGCCCAAAGTTGAAAGAATTCACACCTACATGAGAATCTATTTTTAAAAATCCACTGAAGATTGTCAGTGAGAGTGTGTGAACAAGCTTGGGCTCCAGCTCTCTGGCTGGGAATGTGGAATCCACATGAGCCTCGAGGGACGGGACCACACCCACCTTTATACTGATGGAGGTCTGTCAGGTTCTCCTGGTAGGTGAGGATGACGGTCTGGTACTGAGTGACAATTTGGCGCCGGAGGCTCTCCCAGCAAGGGGACAGCTCCCCCAACTCCTCCAGCTCACAGACTCTGCAAACAAGATACACATATCGGGTCATAGGGTTGACTCATCTCCTACAGTGGTGACAAGGAGAGTGGGCCAGTAGTGGTTACACTGCCAGTCTAAAGAGCCACCAAGGGACAAGAACACATACTGCATGAGACACAGACCACTGAACACATGAGGAAGCATGTGGGGAAACTTTGTATAGGAACTCAAGTAATTGTTCAAGGGAAACAATAGAGGTGAGAAGAGGAAAGAGGCTTTCAGGGAGTGGCTCTGCCATGATAGCCTCATGATCTTGAAGACACCATTGGCATAGTCTGTCTGAATCTGAACAGGATGACACATGATCTTCCAAAACAGAGGAGAAAGAAGATGTAAGAAACTACCAGGAGGCCACCTTCCACTCCCCTCCCTACATTCCAACAGCTCCCTTTCAATGTAAAGTACATACCGACACATGTGGCTCTCTTGTCTCCCTTTCTGATCATCCTGCAGCCCACACTGAGTACAAATGCCTGCACACACAGTTGCTACTAACAACTCAACTCTTGCACGCAATAAAGCACCTGCCCAATGAATGCACTCTTTTAAGCAGTAACACACAGCAAAATGAGAAAGCAAGCAACAATCAAGAGAGAGATGACTCAGTAGGTAAAGGTGATTGCCACCAAGCCTAAAGACGTGAGTTTGGATCCTCAGGATCTACATGGTGAAAGGAAAGAACTAACTCCACAAGACCTCTGACCTCCACATGATCACCATGGCACATGTGCACCCAACACCACAGGCCTCACCCTCCCTTGGGACTGATATAATGTGCTTCAGAGCCTGGGTCTGTGGTCTACTCTGCCTCTGCTCACATCTCAGAAAGGCATACTCATATGACATGGGTAAAGGGTGTTCATTCATCCTCTACAATGCGACCTCACCTGGCTGCATCTTCTTCCAGCAGGAGCTTCACAAACTGCCGAGGCACATGCAAGGAGAGGACGCTCTCTGCCATCTGCTCCAGGATCCGTAGGTGGTTGCCATCAGTGGTTGGGAACCGGTACATGCGGCAGATGGCACCGCCAAACACTGAGTTGGGATGGTAAGAAGATAGGCTGTGGGTTTGTTGGCTATAGACCTGTCTCCCATGTGCCCCACTCAGGCCCTCAATGCTGTTGGACCCTCAAGTCCTTTTTACCAAGGGAGTTTAAAAAAAGAAACAAAACCCCCACTTAAACCAAGCTCCACCAAGGGACTGCACCTGAGGCCCCTCCCACCATGGCAGAAGCTGGAAGTAATTCTTAAGTGTAAGCAGCTGGCGTGGCCAAGACTGTCAGTCACCAAACCCAGAATGAAATAGCAAAGAGTAAAACAAAGGAGTCCCTTCCTCAGGGTGTTACTAACTCTCTGTGTTGCAGAAATTGATTTGTTGATGAACAGCAGACAGGTGACAGTCACAGCAGGTGGGGAGTAAAGGGTGGACACTCACAAGAGTGGCAAGAGTATCAACGGAGGAAGCTGTTTACCCGATTTCAGTAAAGTGTCTTTTCGAAGTGAAGCATATTTGGATCGGATTCCCAATGCCTCAGTCAAACTCTCATCAACAGGCAGAACCATCTGATAAACACATACAGAAAAGCACAAGAAAACTGAGTTGAGAAGACCTCAGAGTGCCCAGAGAAATGGGGACCTCAGGCATCATATGAGACCTCTCAACCCAACATTGAGCATTAACTCTATAAGAATCCACTGCCCAGCCACAGATGTACACAGATTCCCCTCCCAGTTCACTGTGCCTTCTCTATACGTGCCTAGTTTTCTTTGCATGCATGTCTTCTAAGTCATTTCACCTTGGGTTTCAGTGTTCTGGTGTACAAAATGAAAGAGAAGGACAGATGATGCCAAGAATATTCTCAGAGCCTGTGTTGTGCTTATTTTAGGCAAAATAAGATATCTTTGTATTTTACAATGCATCCTTGACAGTGTTGGCCTCCAAAAATGGAATTCTCAATTTGAGAACAGTGTTTGAGTGAGAGACTATGTGAGCCAGAGGGAGACAGGCGATGGAGTAGAGGGGGTCCTGAGAAGATGGGTATGGGCAAGGAGGTGACTGTGTCTGGGAGGACAGTTTCTACCAGAATATAATGGAAGGCCTAGGTCTCCATGACCTCTTCACTCACACATTCCTACCCTACCAAACCCACAAATACAAGCTAACCTACATCTTGCTCTCTAGTTCCTGCTCCAATGACGCAGTTAGTGGGGCACAGGGAGAGGAGGATGGCTCCACGTCAGCAGAGCTTTGCATGCCCAACCAGAAGCCCTTCCTTTCTACGTGGAGTCACATCTGTAGAAGACCAGAGCATCCCATCCCATGGAGGGGAGTATTGAACAGCAGGCCCTATGCTTTGCTAAGATGTCATTGAAAATACTCAATTCTCTTATGTTTTCCATAAGAGATGAGAAGGTGCCTACTCACCCTCCCATTGACAGTGTCTAGAGACCGAGTCACAGGGGGCCGCTGGTCTGACTTTTCTTCCATCTGCCAGCCAATCACAGTTATATTACCTACACGGTCACTCTCTGCAGACCTGCAACAAGCAACATGCTTTGAAAATCAGTGGGGTGACTGTGTTTCTTTTCTGCTAAAGACAAAGCTTAGCCACCCTGGGTCACTGGGCCCTGGGAGCAGAAAGGTACCATCCTGGCAGGGCTTCTAATAGGCTGAGTGATTCATCTTGCCTCACCTCAGTAGACACCACGGTCTCCCTTTAGATTAGCCTCTAGGAGGAAGGGAGTGGCCAGAGTACTCTCAGATTAAGAGAAAGGGCCCTTACCCTACCTGTCCATGGAGCTCACAACTCTAGACCCTTTCAACAAAATAAAATTAAAAGCCTAACCTTAGTATTAAATGCAATCTGTGATGCCTGTCCTGAAGAAGATCTTTGACAATGAATGTTCCAGAGCCCAGTAAGTACATCTGAGAAAGGGAAGGAGAAAGACAGTATAAGCATATTCCTTTTGCCTCTATTCCAAGTACCACAGCCCAGGGAAATGGGATGGTTCCTATAACATATCCCTCCCTCACTTCAGGAGCCCAATAACAATGCTCAGAAATAAATCCCCAGAGGCAAGTATGTTTAGAAATAAGTTAATTCGTGGGCTAGTAGTGAAATCAATGTTACCCAGATGATTACATAACTATAAGAAAAGGAAGTTCCATAAAGTTTTAGTATGTTACTTAACTGTTCCCTGAGATCTATCTTTGACATCATACACAGACAGTTTGATTTGTGTCATCTGATTGATAAGGGAGTCTTGAAAGAAGGCAATGCTACTTAGAAATATAGGATTGTTGGTTCCCTAGAACAGAAAAGAATAGAATCAGAGTTGGATTTTTAAAGTAATTTTTAAAAAATATACTAACATTTTCAAAATGAGGAAATTATCACTTTTACTGACTTAGCTCAACACAAATGCTAATGGTAACATGAGCAGACGCACAGAACAATAGCAAAAACCTGCCTTCCAAAAGAAGAAAATGTGACACAGATCACCAATCCCGACACCACAAAACAGGCCACTGCAGAAGGTGTGCTAAGGGCTAACTCCTAAAGCTTTCACATTCTGGAGGAGGAATTTTCTAAACCTGAAATGAGTTCAATGCCACATGCATTCTTAGTGTTATAGCTTTGAGCATGTTATGCATCTAGACCTTACTTTGGACTGTTCCTTTAAGATATACATTTAGGCAGATGAAAGAGTAAGTGAATGGTTTTAAGTTATTATTTCTAGAATCCTGTGTTTGGAATAATTAAAGCTGACTTTTTGATACCTATCCTTCAGGACCAGCTGTTAGTTTCTAGATCACAGGTGGCTATTTCCTACCATCTTAGCCCTGACTCCCAAAGCTCCATTGTAATCTTATCTTTCTTGGGTGATGGCTAATTATCTCAGCAAACTACTACTGTGCCCACTTTGCACCTGGGTGATGCCTGGGCTCCTGACTGGGATCTCTCTATAGTTCTAGCTTTAGTCTCTCAGTGCCAGCAGGACAGCCGCTCCTGGAGTTTCTGCTGGGAAGCTCCCCCCAACCCCCAACCAATGTCTTCCCCCCATCGGCCCTGGTGAAAGTCATCAATGACTCTATCTAAAACCTGGATGTCAGCTTTGGTGCCGCCTCCTCTGTGGAGCAGCTGAGGACCCAACAACTGTGCACTCTTTCTGCAAGTTCTACTTCCAGAGCTGCTTCTTATATTCCTCTTCTGTCCACTCCCTCCCTCTGCCAAAGTCAGGTACTGCACCACTCCCCTGGCGCCTGTTAAAGAGTCAGAACAACTGGTCACATGACTCTTGCAGAAGGCCTGCACAGGCCAGCTAGCTACAGTGCTATATTCACAAACACCCTGGCCTGGCTTCTAAGGCTTCCTTTCCTTGCTTTCTTTGTCTGGATCTTTAGGATACACTTAGCAAGATAGTTACTCCCTAAACTCCCACAATGCTCTGCTATCATCCTGCCTTTGCATAACTATGTATAGTCCCCAGACAGGGCTTACGGGTATTACCTGCAATCCTGTCAGACCTGCAGAGTCTGGGCCCCACTTGGACCTGCTATGGCAGAATTTCACCAAGTCCCACCTAGCCTGCTGGAGGGGACCCTTCCTTCCCATGCTTTGCTGTGGGTAGAGATGGTCATGTAAATGTCTGCCCCTCTCCCATAAGAAATTCTTGAGGGCCAGGGCCTGAGACCCTGTGGATATTCTATCAATGACTAGTACTGGGATTGACTTGTAGGTAGTGGTCAACAAATGCTTGGAACATCCATGCTTGACCTTAACTTGGAAACAAGCTTCTAAGAGATTCAAAGAAGGGTCTAGCTTCTAAAATGTAAACTGCTTTTATATAACATAACACATTATCAGATCTTTATGTAAAAGTATAAAAATACAAAAGCAAGCTGGGCGGGCTGGCACCTGTAGTCCCAGCATTTGGGAGGCAGAGGCAGATCTCTGTGAGTTCAAGGCCAGCCTGGTCTACATAGCGAGTTCCAGGCCAGCTGGGGCTACAGTGAGACCCTGCTTCAAAAGGAAAAAAAAAAAAAACAAAAACAAAAACAAAAAAACAATATGAATGCAGTTTAAGTATAATTGTTCACAGTACAGATAAAACTGTGGAATTCCATCAGTAACAACTACATTTAGTGTTTTAACTTACATAATGGCCTCAATTATCTAAAAAGATTTTGTAAACTTCCACTGATAAATTTATATTAACTAATTTAAAGATTAAGTACAAAACACAAAACTTAAAAGAATGAAAAACCAAAATAAATAAAAAACCAAATAAAAATAGATATAGCCCAGCATACCAAGTAAACATTCTTCCAAGTTCTGATTAATAAGTGCAGTTTTCTAAAAGTAGCAATAAATTGGAAGTGACAAGAAAGAATTAGGCCTTACGTCTTAAAAGTCAATCAACCGTAGAGGATCACTGCTTTAAGATATCCAACCAACAGTTCATCAACAATCCTAAAATGAGGCGGAGGTGTAAGATGTGGCCACTTGGGTGTGATGAAAAATAGCAATGTAATGGAAAAATAACTCACATACGAGCAACTGGAGCTATTGACGCTCAGGAACTGAACAGTCCTACTGCCAGGGCCCCGGATATCTATGAGCATGACCTGGGCTCCCTCAGAGGAGAGGGACCAGCAGTACCCACCTCAATGATCTCTGTCTGTGCATGCTTTGTCCAGAATGCCTGTGGAGGGGTGGTGACACTCACAGCCACAAAACTATTTGGTTTTCGATCTAGCGATGGAGTATGAAGCTCACTGCAAGCTACAAAATCAAAGTAGAGAAGGAAAAAAAATCCTTTGGACCAAACTCTATGTAATTGCTCTAAATTCACCCAAACAAAGTTTAAAGTAATGCTCTTAGGGATATGATTGCCAAATTACAAGCTACAGAAGTGATTTTAAAATTTTTGTTGTTCATTCCTTTTCCCTTCTCCCTCTTCATAGGATAGTGAAGTCATACGTAGAGCGGGAGTCTGTGCTGAAGGTGGCCTTCTATGTCCATGTAATGGAATTCAGAGCCAACAACATGTCTGTGGCCCAAAGCAATTCCACATGCCTGCATACAATGACTGCTGTAGCTAACTAGACTCGGGTGCCCCACAAGCCCTGGTATATACAGATGGATGGGTGTTGGAATAACATTAGAATTCTATGGCAAAATAAAGAAAGGTCTTTTTTTTTTTTTTAAAGTCAACATTTATTTTCTTTATATCAAATACAAGATATTTTTAATGTTATTTTTTAGAAAGTATCAAATAAATGTCTGATTATATATGAAATATATAATCTCACACAATTCTACCACACAAATAACTCATGTAAAGAATTATCACATTTGAATCTGATATGCTCCCTCATATAAAATGTACTATGAAAGGGGAAGAAAAAAGCCTTCTGTCATTAAGCTATAAATGCCAGCATGGTATAGCATTTCCTTACCAAAGGAATGCTAAAACGTGAAAAAGGTTCACCTTGGAATTGTTAAGATACAAGGTCAATCCAAGTGCCACGCTAACAAAACTAAGTGCCTTGCTTGTTTGTGATTTTGAGGCAAAGCCTCATTCCGCAGCAAGGGCTGGCCTCAAACTCATGGCAGTCCTCCTGCTTTACCTTTCCAGGTACTGGAATTTAAGGTGTAAGCCTTAACACCCAGCTCATAACGAACTTCTTTCAGTTGGGTATTAGTATTAGAAATACTAATGTTTAGTTGTTCCCTTGAAAAAAGAAGAAATTACATTACAATTTACAGTTTTTCAAGATGACAAAAGTTCTGGAGATAGATGGTAGTGACAGCTATACAAGAATGTGAACACCTCTAACACCACTAAATTATACACTTAAAACTTTCCACCAAAAGTGGAAAATATCATGTTATCTGTATCTTAATCACAATTATATATATATATATATCTATTATCTATATATAATTGTGATTAAGATGTATTAACAACTCTAATTAAAAGCTACATTCTTGGCCAGGCATGGTGGCGCATGCCTTTAAGTCCCAGCACTGGGAAGGCAGAGGCAGGCCTGTGAGTTCAAGGCCAGCCTGGTCTACATAGTGAGTTCCAGGACAGCTAGGGCTACAGGGAGACCCTGTCTCAAAAAGACCAAAAAAACAAACAAACACAAAAAAACTACATTTTCATACCTACAACAGGAAAGACAAATGCAGAGGAAGCAGGAGGACCAGGATGCACGGGAGGGAGGAAGAGGACCAGGATGCTCGAGAGGAAGCAGGAGGACCGGAATGCATGGGAGGAGGCAGGAGGACCGGAATGCACGGGATAGAAGGAAGACAATCAAGATGAAAAAAACGGAAACAAAGGCGTTGACAGAAAAATGGCAAAACAGAAAGGGAAGCTGGAGACACAGCCCCTCAGACTAGAAAGACCAACCCCCTGCTATGTTTTGAGCAACTTCATCTGAGATGATGTATTTCTCATGATCCCTTGCTCTCCTTGCTCTTTGAAGTGAGCTGTAGTGACCTAACAGTTGCACAAAGCCCAAACTGTCCTTTTTGGTTCTAACTCCGCCCTGGCCGCCATTAGTACCATCACAGCAGCTCCTTTCCCAGTGCACACAGGTGTTCAGGGCTATTTTATGTTGTCACCATTCACTCAGCTCGACTAGATGATCACTTCAGACACCTTCTCTCGTGTTTGGATTCTCAATCCTTCCTGCTTCTGTGAATTCCTGTCTGCCTGCTCCTGAGGAACAATCCCTGGTGCTATTTATACCGCAAGGCTGAGGGCCGGCACATCCTTTCAGTTTTTGAGGTTTGAAAATATCTTTACTGCACTTGAATGATTGAAGGGTATTTTCTCTAGGTAGTTATTTTCTCTAAGACCTTTAAAAATATTGACTCTGGGTTTCTATTTTTTTCTTTTATAAAAGCCAGCAGTCAGTCTAATTATTGCTACTTTGAGAACTGTGTGTGTGCAAGGGGGTGTGTATATTTTGGCACCTTTTAAGATTTTCTCACTGAATTTGGCTTTCTACATCTCTACAATGGTATCTCTAGAAATATTTTCTTTAATATTTATTTTATTATCTGTGGAGAAACGCTCAACTATAAATACTACTTCTAATCCTCCTTGTTTTTTTTCCTGGACATGAAGTAAATATATATTAGACATTTTCATTGTTTGATTATCTAAGACAAGGTCTCACTATATAGTACTGGCTGGCCTGGAATTTGCTATGTAGACCAGTCTGGCCTCAGGATCACAGAGATCTGCCTGCCTCTACCTCCTGATCACTGGGACTAAAGGCATGTGTCAACATGCCTGATGATTCTCATTTTTTCAAATTAATTAATTATTTTATGTGTATTAGTGTTTTGCCTACATATATGTAAGTGAACCTGTGCGTGCAATGCCTGTAGAGGTCATAAATTTATGGTAAAAACAGCATTTAAAAAAAAATGTCTGTAGCCAGGTATTGTGGCACATACCTTTAAACCCAGCACTTGGAAGACAGAGACAGACAGATCTCTGTATGATCAAGGCCAGCCTGGCTACAAGTTCCACAGGGAGACCCTGTCTCATAAAAAACAAAACAATACAAAAATCTGCAGAACTCTATTACATGAGGCTCAGGCCAATGCTGTCTTTGTCCAGGGAAGATGTGGAGTGGCTTCCAGCAGGTCCTCAGGAGCACTGACATCCAGGTACCATCATCTTCTTCAGGGACTGAGTGCACCAGAAGTCACTGTGAACATCTACTTCTGGTTCTGGTATGTGAGAAGTGTAACCTTCTAGATTGCACATCAAAAAGACAGAGGCTCCAAATATTGCTTCTCTGTGACCTTGCAAACAACCCCTGCACTTTAGCACGGAGAAGCTGTCTAAAGTATTGCTCAGCCTCTAGATTTTGCTCCTGGAAGTCAGAGAGCCCTGAGAGAAAGCGGGTCTCCATCTTCAGGATCTTTCCATGCTACCAATTTTCTGGAGACAAATGCAAGGTATGTTTCAGAATTTGCTCCCATTTTTTAAAGCTGTCCTTAATGACAAGATTTTATTTTTTAAATCTTTTATCCAGAAGCATGAAAGATTTTTCTCTTTACCTCAGAATTCAGAAGTTTCCCAAGGTGATGCCTGACAGGTGGGCATACTGGTCTTAAAGCTGTCCTTTTCCTTGGAAAAGATTCTTCTGTTACTTTTGGCCTGTGCTCTTCAGTCTTCCTCTTCTTCTGGGTCCCTTAGTCATCGAATATTACAATGCCATACTGTGACTCATCTCTTTACTCAGAACTCTCTGCTTCTCGCTAGTTTGTCTTTCAACTATGAGACTGCCTTTAACAGATTCGTCAGTGCCTTTGACTTTTCAATGTTTTTAAAAAACACTTTTACATTTATTTTGTGCGTGTGTGTTTGTGCGCTCATGCACACATGTCATGGTGCAGGAGTGAAGGTCAGAGGACAACTTGTAGGAATCAATTCTTTCCATTCACATGGGTCCTAGGGTTTCAACTCAGGTAGTCAGGCTTGGCAGTAAGCACCTTCACCCATTGAACCATTTCTCGGACCCCTAGTCTTTGGTGTTTTCTAAGAATGTAATTCATATACTATAAAATGCACCTTCTCAAAGTACTTATAGAGTTGTATAACCATTACCACTGACCACTTCTTTAATACTGTCATCATCTCAAAAAGACAAAATCCATGCCCATTAGCAATCATTCACCACCCCTCTTCTCCAATCCCCAGAAAACACTAATCTCTTTCTGTATAGGTTTGTCTCCTCCAGACATTTATATAAATGGGATTATATAAGACGTGGCCTGTTGTGGCTGTCTTCTTCCACTTGGCACATTTTCAAGGCTCACCACTGCTACAGCAGTTATCAGGACTTCATTCCTGCTGCTAACAAACAAGTGTCTACTCAAAGACCACACTACATATTGTCCATCCATTCATCAACTGATAGAGATTTTGACTGTTTCTACATTTGGGTTATTAGAATAATGTTATAAACAAGTTTTTAGTTGACAATATATATTCATTTCTTATTTTTGAAGAATATTGCTGTTGAATATATAATTCTTGGTTGACTATCATTTATTTTAAGAATTTGCATACGTCATCCTGGTGCCTCCTCATCTCCATCTTTCTTCTTTTTCTATTTTTTTCTTTTTCTTTTTGATATTTTTAAGCAGCTAACTGTGAAGATCAGGCTGGCCTTGAATTCACTATGTAGCCCATGCTGGCCTCAAACTCTTGATCCTCCTACCTCGGCCTCCTAAGTGCAATTATTACACCTTTGTGCTACCACACACAGTGCTGTGCTCTATTTCTGATAATATGCTAATGCTCTTATTGGTGACCTTTGTGTACAGAAAGTCACTCTTTCTTGCTGTGTTGTATATCCTTGGCTTTCAATGGTTTAATTATGATGAATCCAGGTGTAGCTCTCAGTTGGCTTTATCCCACCTGTAGTTCATTGGGCATCTTGGATACACTTTCCATCAACTATAGGAAGTGTCTGGCCATCATTTTGTCAAGTAGTCTCTTTCCCCTTCTCTTTCTTCTTCTTCTGGAAATTTCATTAAACCTTTATTGGTGAACTTGATAGTTTTCCAGGAGTCTCTGAGACTGTTTCCTTCCTTCCTTCCTTCCCTCCTTCCTTCCTTCCCTCCTTCCTTCCTTCCTTCCCTCCCTCCCTCTCCTCTCGACCTCCCAACCCCCCCACCCCCATTCCTCAGACTGGGTAATCTTAGTTGATGTCTTCTAAGTATACTGCTTCTTTTCCTGCCTGCAG